CGGAGTTTGAGCCAACACTGGAGGTTTTCAAGAAGAGATTGGGCAGCCATTTGTCTGAAGTAATATAGGGTCTTCTGATTGAGCATGGGGCTGGTCTAGAGGACCTCCAAGTCCCTTCCAATTCTAAATGATTCTGCTATTCTCCCCAAACAGCCTCCCAACCACCATCCGGTCAGGGCCCTGCTCACCATCCGCATCCACTTCGTTGATCATGTCTTGCAACTCTGCCTCGGTGGGGTTCTGACCCAGGGAGCGCATCACGGTGCCCAGCTCCTTGGTGGTGATGGTGCCATCGCCGTCTTTGTCGAAGAGGGAGAAGGCTTCCTTGAACTCTGAAAGGAACAAGAGAGAGGGCGTGATCAGAGCCACATTCGCCCCTCGATCCAAACTTTTAACAAAGCAAATGAGATAGACAGGCAGGCAGAAATAGATGGATGGATGGATGATAGAAGATAGACAGATAGATCATAGATAGCAGAAAGATGATAGAAGATAAATAGATGGATGGATGGATGATAGAAGATAGACAGATCATAGGTAGCAGATAGATCATAGTAGATAGATGGATGGAATATAGATTAGATAGCTAGATGGATGGATGGATGGATTAGACAGCTAGATGGATGGATGGATGGATGGATGATAGATTAGCTAGATAGGGATGGATGCATGCATGATAGACAATAGATGAGATAGATCATAGATAACATAGATGATAGATAGATGGAAGATAGATTAGATAGATGGATGGATGAATGGATGGAAGATTAGATAGATAGCTAGATGGATGGATGGATGATTAGACAGGTAGATGGATGGATAGATGGATGATAGATTAGATAGATAGGGATGGATGGATGGATGGATGCTAGAAGATAGATGAGATAGATCATAGATAACAGATGATAGATAGATGAATGGAAGATAGATTAGATAGATGGATGGATGAATGGAAGATTAGATAGCTAGCTAGATGGATGGATGATTAAACAGCTGGATGGATGGATGGATGATAGATTAGCTAGATAGGGATGGATGGATGGATGCTAGAAGATAGATGAGATAGATCATAGATAACAGATAGATGATAGATAGATGGATGGAAGATAGGTTAGATGGATGGATGGATGGATGGAAGATTAGATAGATAGCTAGATGGATGGATGATTAGACAGCTAGATGGATGGATGATAGATTAGATAGATAGGGATGGATGGATGCTAGATGAGATAGATCATAGATAACAGATAGATGATAGATAGATGGATGGAAGGAAGATAGATTAGATAGATGGATGGATGAATGGAAGATTAGATAGATAGCTAGATGGATGGATGATTAGACAGCTAGATGTATGGATGTATGTATGGATGATAAATTAGATAGATAGGGATGGATGGATGAATGGATGCATGCATGCATGATAGAAGATAGATGAGAGATCATATATAACAGATGATAGATGGAAGGGATGAATGGATGGATGGAAGATTAGATACATAGCTAGATGAATGGATGGATGATTAGATAGATAGCTAGATGGATGGATGATAGATTATATAGATAGGGATGGATGCATGCATGATAGAAGATAGATGAGATAGATCATAGATAACAGATAGGTGATAGATGTATGGATGGATGGATAGAAGGTAGATGATAAGATGAGTGGCTGGGAATGAATGATTTGGGGTTTTGCCGATGAGATAGATTTGTTGTTATAGAAATAGTTAGTATACACTATTAAGTAAAAAGTCTTAGGTTTTGAGGTTATCTTATTCGACTGCACCAAAGAAAGTCGGAAGTCAATGCCTTTTCTTCCTTTTTCCTACACTTTTCCCTCCCCTGTCTTTCCCAATGTTTTCTTTGCCATTTTTGTATTTTGTATTATGAATTATAAACAAAAGAAATCATTTCAAAAAATTAAGAGAAAGAAGACCACACGCCATCTCGTTTTTCAGAGGGAGAGTAGCTGATTTGTGAGAATGCAGCCTCTTTGTCTAAACGGCAGTTGAGTTTTCAGGGGTGGATGTCTGTTTCCCAGCTACCCGAATCAATTCTGCAACTCTTCCAGGGACCCTCCAATTCTTACCTGCGATCTGCTCCTCGGTCAGTTGGTCAGCCTGAGAAAGTTAACAAGAAAATAAAAAGTCAAGACTCCCTTTCGAAATCAGGCCAGCTTCCTTCTCATTGTATGCAGGTGAGTCCTCGACTTACAACACTCGGCGGGGAAAAAGCGTTCAAAGTTACAAGGGCACTGCCAAAAAAAGCAACACCATCCCCCACGGCTACGGGATGTACATTCGGATGCTTGGCGATGGGTTCCAAAACACAGAAAAAGGTCGTATGTGTGAGCCAGTGGCCAAGCGTGTGAATGTTGATCCCGTGACCCCCTGGGATGTTGTCGTTAGCGTGAAACACAGTCGTTAAGTCGCTTTCTGCAGTGCCATTTGTCATTCCGGTCATTGATGTGTAATTTTATGGGACTGCTAAAAAAAAAAGCGGTGTTATTCGCCATCAACTGCTATTGCTATTGCTATCAAACGTTGAAAAATAAACCTGCCCACTTTTCCCCAAAAGGTTTCCACAATTTTGGCCACTACTGTACAACAGTGCTTTATTAAAACAGTAATTAAGAGTAATAGGACCAAATGAAAAAGTAAAGAAAATTTGAACTAAATTTCTACTTACATTAGCCTATTTACAATTTTTCCATATTATATCCATATTATATATATTAATATTAATATTATAATATTATATCCAAATTTGACACATCTTTTGTTTTCCAAACGAACAATGATTGACATTTCTAAATCCTCCCTCCCTCCTTAGCCCCCCCGCGACCCCAATATCCAAGGGGGCGGGGCCTCATATAGCTCCGCCCCTCCCCTCCTCTGGTGCTGACCTCTGCTCAAATTCCCCCCTCCCTGAGACTACTAGCCCCCCCCCCAATTCAAAGGAGGGGGTCCTGCCCCGCCCCGGTAAACGCCCCTCTATTGTCTCGGGGGGACCCCCCTCTTGTTGAAGGGGGGTTTAATAGAGGGTGAGCTAGAGGGTCTTCAGGAGCCCCCTTCAAGTCTGGCCCCTCCCCTTTCCTGCCCCGCCCCTTTTGGGTATCACGCGCGGCCCGGGAGGGTTTATTCACGCTTGTCCCGTCCTCCCCCCGCCTCAAAATTGCCCCTTCCCCTCACCATGGTGACCGGGCGAGGGAGCAGCGCCGCGTCCTCTCAGCTTTGGGATTCCCGTCCGTCTCCCTCCGCCGCGGGTCGAGGAGCCGCTGCCGCCTCTCTCGCGCATGCGCCCTGGCGCTCCTCCCCCCCCACCAACGGCAGGCGGCGACCGTTGCTCGGCCGCCTCGCCGCGCCAAGCGAATCGCTCCGCCAACGAGTTCCGGCGAGCAACCCTGGCTGCATGGGCGACACCCCGCCCCCGCCTTCTAACATCCGGGCTCTTGTCCTTATAGCTCCGCCTCCCTTCTCTCTCCCCTCACGTGGCCCGCTGAGCGTGCCCCCATTGGTTCAGCCTCCCCTGCATTGCGTCGAGGGGGCTGCTTAAAGGAGAAGCCGTCATAAGAGGCCGAGGAGGGGTGGGGGAGGAGAAAAGGAAAAGGGGGCGGAGTCAAGAGGAAGCCTGACCCGGAAAAAAATACTGTCGGCTGTCAATAAAGAGAGGGAGATTTAAAGGGGAAGCCGCCAAAAGAATGTATGGCTATTAAAGGGGAGGAGTATATTTAAGGTCGTAACTTCATTTCCCAGCTGGCTGGGGAATTCTGGGAATTTAAATCCATCAATCTTAAATTTGCAAAATATTGTTTTTAATAATATTTTTCTTTTTCCAAAATAAGACAGCCAGCCAATAATACTCCTCTGTTGATGAATATATTTTTAAAATGCTTAGTTAGTAGTAATTCAATTCAGTATTTAAAATAGCCATTGAAGCAAACATTAGTTTATGCAAAGGAGCCTTGAGAATGAATGAGCAGTGTTTCACTATCTCAGTAATTAAGATGGGTGGACTTCAAGTCCCAGAATTCCCCATCCCGAGCATGCAGGCAGGCGGGCAGGGGAATTCTGGGAGTTGAAGTCCACTCAGCTTATAATGATTGAAAGTTGAGAGATACTGCAGCACTTGTGAAACATCCAGCCCCACGGAAATTGTGAATGTTGCGTTTTTAAAGTGTTGTCTTTGTCTATTTATCCCCCCTTCCCT